TGCCATTCCCTGACTTACAGATGTATCTGCTACCTTTTATAAGATGTCATTTAGCGAGGAACCCACCCTACTGTGGGGTGAACTCATATGGCTATAACTGGTAAGATCTTAAAGGAAGACTCTTTTCTAAACACATTATTCACAAGAACCAGGGGTAAAGTCTTCAACATATCTGGATATGAAAGACATAATTCCATGAATAACAACAAAAGAGTACAAATATGCATATCGATTTATTTATGTATAAGGTTTGACGTGTGTGTGTGTGTGTGTGTGTGTGTGTGTGTGTGTGTGTAGTGAGGGGGAAACAGAGTGCAATCTATGAGATGGTAATAAGTTAGGGATGGCTGGATTGAAGATGAACATTCTTGAAAAAGTCCAGGCTGATCAATACTGCTGGTTCTTTCATCAGTTTCCCTTTACCAACAAAATGAGCAAAAGCATCCATCCTGGCCCATGCACTTGACTCTGGGAAAAGCGACTGAAAGTGCCAAGGTTTCAGCTAGTTCCCACTCTTTTATTTAATATTCCTTTCTCTGCCTGACATTTTTCTTTGTTCTTAGGGGCCTAGATCTAGCTTCCTCCCACAGATCTCTTGCCTGGCAAGAATGGCACAAACTCTAAACACTATTCTTCCCCCACAGATGTCAGAAATGCATGAGTATGCAGTGTGGGTGGCAAAGAAGGAGGGAACCAAGGCAGGCAAAGGAGATATCAATTTCTGTGATGCAATTATACACAGCCTCAATCCCCTAAGGGGGCTACAATCATTGCAGATGCTTCCTAGTACATACAGTCAAAGAGCCAGATACACTGCACTGCACACCAGCTGCAGCTGCAGTGCCCTGTGAGGTGCCCTGGGAGCTACCGCCTTTGCACTCTAGGAACTTGCAGTTCATTAGCAAAGCCACAGCTAGCAGGTATGCAGGAATAGGTGCTTTATACTGAAAGAAAGAGAATGAAATTTGGCTGCTTCTTAAATTATTTTTTCTAAATGCTAGCTATACTTTTCCCAACTTCACAAAAATTAATGCTGTAAACTTATTAAATGTCTCTCACTCAGTGCCATCAAAGTGATTCTGACAAACGATGGCAGAATAAGGCAGAGTAAAATTGTCCCTGTGAGTTTCTGAGGCTGTAAGTCTTTAGGGGAGGAGAATGCTTCTTCTTTCTCCCTCAGAACAGCTAATGGGTTTGAACTGTCTGCTTTTCAGTTTGATGATCAATGCATAATCCACTATATCACCAGGGCTCCTATTAAATATGTAGCTATTTATATTCCCTTTAAACTTATTGAGATGATCATTGGATAAGACATTTTAATTATAATTTGTTTCATTGTTTCTGATTGAAAATGGCAAATGTTAATTTAAGGAAAATAATCCTAAAATAAATGTAAAATTAACATTTCTCCTGGAAGGAAGAATATGAACAATGATAGAAATGCTAGCAAGTTGCAGTTGCTCTGAACAAGGTAGACACCTGTAATGCAGTGTTGAACTCCAGTCATGAAAGCAAAGGCGTGTTCCTTGACTCCCCCTGCCCTCCGTCCCCCAAACTTCACTACACAATCTGAAGAAATCTGTGCAATGTCTCCCATTTTAAACATGTAAGGAGCCCCGGTGATGCAATGGGTTATGGTTCTACATTGAGATGCTAAGCACTAGGCCAGTATTCAAAGCTCTGGCCAGCAACTCTGGGAGAAAGATGAGGTTCTCCACTCACGTAAAGGTTTGCAGCCGTGGAAGCTCACACACTCGGTTCTGCTCTCCCCGACAGGATCACCCTGAGTCAGAATCAATTCAATATCAGTGAATTTGATCTTGGTGATGAAAAAAAAAATCATGTAACGTTCTGATATCTAAAATTGGACTAATACTTTTACACAGATTAGCTTGCTTGTTTCCGTAAGGATATTATGCAGTAGGTTCTACAAAGTCTAGGGGAAGGACTTAGGGATTCATTCTAATAATCTTGGCCAATTTATAAAGAGACAATCCTTAGACCAAGGTTTTGTGAGTAGAAATGTAGCAAGTTTAAAAGAGAAAGCTACGGTTTAGTGTTCATACTGCATTTTATCTATTATTCAATGACCCAACAGACAGGACTTTGGACGTGCTCTCAGGAGAGACTGATCCCTGGAAAAGA